CCAGCTCTGATTCCAATGACAGCTTCCTGCTAATGTGTACCCTGAGAGATAGCAGATGATAAGTCAAATTGTCAGGTCCCTGACACCCAGAGGGGACACCCGCATTGAATTCCTGTCTCCTGGCTTTGGCTTGGCCCAGCCACACCACTGTGGGAATTTGGAGATTGAACCCAAATGGGAGCTCTTCGTCTCTCAAATTAATAAGCCAATAATTTAAAAATATGTATACAGACACAATTAAGAAAAAATTAATAGCCAACATTCAATAGATGTAACACATCTATCCATATCCATAGAATAAAAGACAAAAAGCACAGGATATTTCAATAAATGCAGAAAAGCAATTGAGAGCATTTAACAGATTCAGGACAAAAACACTCAACACTGGAAAAAGAGGGAACTCCTCAATTTTATAAATAAGAGCAACTAAGAACAAACCACAGCTAAACATCTTACTAATGGTGAAAAATTTAGTGATTTCCTTTTAAGATCAGGAAAAAGACAAAAAAGTTTATCCCTGTCTCACTTGCTCTGTGTGGTACTGGAGGGTCTACCCAGGACAATTAGGCAAAGAGAAAATAAAAGGCACTGAGAGGGGGTAGTTGTTTGGCACGGCAGTTAAGATGCTCTGAACAGCCCCATTTCACACAGGAGTGTTGGTTAGTCTCAGCTGCTCCGCTTCCGGTCCAGCTCCCTGCTAATGTGCCTGGGAAAGCAGCAGAGGGTGGCCTCTGCCATCTTCATGGGAGACCTGAATGGAGTTCCAGGCTCCTAGAAAATAACGTAATTCCACACATTTTGAAACTGAAGATTAACTAGGTTTTTAAACAAAGATTCATAATTTTTTGAAAGGCAGACAGAGAGGGAGAGACAGAAAGAAATCTTCCATCTGCTGGTTTATTTCCCAAATGGCTGCAACAGCTGGGGCTGGTGCAGGCCAAAGCCAGGAGCCAGGACCTCCATCTGGGTTTCCCACGTGGGTAGCAGGGGCTCTAGTACTTCAGTCATTTTTCACTGCTTTCCCAGACACCGTTAGCAGGGAGCTGGATGGGAAGTAGAGTGGCCAGGACTTCAACCAGCACTCTAGGATGCTAGCATCACATGCAGTGCCTTAACTGTGTGCCACAACACCGGCTCCTAAAGAGATCTAAGACAAACCAAAAGAAAGGTGTCAAGGAAACCCCTTTGAAGAAAACACAAACACAGCTATGTGTGATGAATATCCAGGGGAATTAGCAACTTTATGACCTTGATGAGAGGCAGACTGCACTGGATCGGAAGGAAATGAATACAGCTGTATCTACCCCTACCGATAAATTTTAAAAACAAGTTAGAATTGAAAATAATTTGCCGGCGCCGTGGCTCAATAGGCTAATCCTCCACCTTGCGGCGCCGGCACACCGGGTTCTAGTCCCGGTCGGGGCACCGGATTCTGTCCTGGTTGCCCCTCTTCCAGGCCAGCTCTCTGCTATGGGAGTGCAGTGGAGGATGGCCCAGGTGCTTGGGCCCTGCACCCCATGGGAGACCAGGAGAAGCACCTGGCTCCTGCCTTCGGATCAGCACGGTGCGCCAGCTGCGGCGGCCATTGGAGGGTGAACCAACGGCAAAAAAGGAAGACCTTTCTCTTTCTCTGTCACTGTCCACTCTGCCTGTTTTTAAAAAAAAAAAAATTGTAGGACGTTATGTGTTAAATAAGTTTTACTAAAAAGTTGTAACACTAGCACAATTTTATTTTTGGTATATTAAGAGCACCATCTTATGTATGGATGCTATAAAACAGTAGATTATGATAGGGATTACATGCATTTATTTACTTGAGAGGTAGAGTGAGAGCTCTCATCTGCTCGTTCACTACACCAAGATCTACAACTGTGGGGACGGGAAAGGTCCAGGTTGAGGCCAGCAACTGGAAACTCAATCCAGGTCTCCCAAGAAAGTGGCAGGAACCTAAATACTTGGGCATTAACAGGAAGCTGGGGTCAGGAGATGGAGCTAGGCTTTGAACCCAGGCATTCCAATATGGTATGAGGTATGAGGTAGGCACCTCATAGCTGGCCTCTTAACCCCTAGGCTGAACACTTGTCTTTTTTTTTAACAAGCAGAGTGGACAGTGAGAGAGAGAAAGGTCTTCCTTTGCCACTGGTTCACCCTCCAATGGCCACTGCGGCCGGCGCACCACGCTGATCCGATGGCAGGAGCCAGGTACTTATCCTGGTCTCCCATGGGGTGCAGGGCCCAAGAACTTGGGCCATCCTCCACTGCACTCCTTGGTCACAGCAGAGAGCTGGCCTGGAAGAGGGGCAACCGGGACAGAATCCAGCCCCCCGACTAGGACTAGAACCTGGTGTGCCAGCGCCGCAAGGTGGAGGATTAGCCTAGCGAGCCGCGGTGCCGGCCCTGAACACTTGTTTTAACGTGTTCCTTTTGGGATTAAGGGCACACTGGAGACCCACACAACAAAACAAGCTGGGCAGTGGGTATACATATAGCCTTTTATCTGTTTCAATTATTTCCCATTGAAAAATTAAGTAAAATGGTATAAGAATCATACAAATAAGTTAGCCAAACTGACCTAATGAATGAGATTTTCTTTGGGAATCAGAAGGGTCACTTAGTCAATGTCCAGTGCCAATGATTTCACACCGACCTTTAGCAAAGGCTTCTATATATATTTTGGGAGAATTAGGTCTATCTTCACATGTGGTCAGAGCAGTTTTACTTAAAATGTCATTGTTAAAGTATTCTAATACAAGTGTTTCAGCTTTACATCAGGAAGAATTCCTTTTAAAAGCCTCATTCAAATTACACATACATCTCCTAATGTGCGAACAAATTTAATCAGTCTGGTGAACAGAAGCTAGTTGCATATCAAGCACGGTGGGGGAAAGCAAGCAAAGTGATGTAGCAGTTCTGGAGAATGACAACACAGCACTGGGGACAGGAATGGCTGTGCTTGAGCAAGATCCCTAGCAAGTAATCCAGACTTCCCCGCTTGTGACTTTCTTCCAGGTCCTCAACGCGGGTGCAGGGGCCCAAGGACTTGGGCCGTCTTCCACTGCTTTCCCAGGCCATAGCAGAACTGGATCAGAAGTGGAGCAGCCAGGACTCGAACAGGCTCCCATATGGGATGCCTGCACTGTAGGCAGCCACTTTACCCACTACGCCACAGCAATGGCCCCAGTTACTACTTTTTGTTTGGAAGAGTGAGGATATTTGAAGTTAACATCCCAAAACTTTTTCCTGAAATGGAAACTGTGTTCACTCTAATTTCGCTTCAAGGGGCTTATCTGTATCCTTGTAAGGGTTCTTTTCATCAAATGATCCAAACTGCTTTACCCATGTGAGATAGCCATTATTCTTTGCAAAACTTGATTTTCTAGGTGTGAGGTAAATGAGAAGACCCAACTCTCCTTTCTCTACTCCTCAGCTTGCACTCACATCTGCTAAAGTCTTCTCACAGAATTATCAAAATGAGTCTTAGTTTAGCTCTAAAAAAACCTCCCATGGTATTAATTTATTCTAACATATTCCTTCTAGGTGTATTCACTTGTAGTTTTAGGAGTTTTGCTTCTAAATTTACTTGTGGCCTGTTTTTAAATTTCATCCTTCTGCTCCCCAAACTGTTCTCTGACAACCCAAACTCTCATACAGTTAATCTTTATCATAAATGATTTTTCTTATGTTCTAGTTTGCCTTAAGACAGCACTGGTCTTCACCTATCCTCATCATTACTTTGTAAACAACAACAACAAAAAAGCCCACGTGTATATGCCACAGCAGCAGACTCTTCATCTGCATCCATCTTCTCTAGTCCTGTACAAGCACTTAGATGTCAAAATTAAACTCCCCAGAGGCCACACAAGCCTCAGTGTACATTGAGAAGACTGTATAGATGGTAGCATGCGATTACATTCTGAGAAACCTACCTAAAGCTGTGAAACACCTAAGTTGGAAATGCACTTAGGCTGCTGCTATGGTGCCCGTGAAAAAGCTTGTAGCAAACAGGGGCAGAAGCAGGTTCTGAGGTTCACCCTCAACCCCACCCACCCTGTAGAAGATGGAACCTGATACTGCAAATTTTGAGCAGTTTCTCCAGAGAATCAAATTGAATGGAAAAGCTGGGAATCTTGGTGGAGGGGTTGTGACCATCGAAAAGGAGCAAGAGTGAGATCACCATGACTTCTGAGGTGCCTTTTTCCAAAAAATATTTGAAATATCTTGCTAAAAAAATTTAAATAATCATCTACATGATTGGTTACAAATAGTTGCTAACAGCAAACAGAATTGGGAATTATACTTCCAGATTAACCAGGATGAAGAGGAGGATTAAAACTCATTTATCTGGACTATTTTGTATGAGTTCTTGAATAAAATTTGGGGGAAAAAAAAAAAAGGCAAGAATCTGTTGCTTACCCTGGTCCCCTGTGCCCAGCTGGTATACTAGATCACATATTGCCAGCTCAGGAAAAGATGAAAATTCAAACTCGCAAGTACAATTTTTCTTTTTAAAAAAGATTTATTTGCCTTGGAGAGCAGGAGGATAGCCCAAGCATTTGGGCCCCTGCACCCACAGTGGAGTCCAGAAACAAACTCTTGTCCCCTAACGTCAGCCTGGCCCATCCCTGGCTATTGTGGCCATTTAGGGAATTGGATGTTAGACCTCTCTCTCTCTCTGCCATTCAAATAAATACAATAAATCTTGAAAAACTTCTTACAAAGGGTGAAAAGACTGAGATTTTAACAAAAAATTTGCTTATTTTCATTTTATTTGAAAGGGAGAGAAGCTTGAAATCATGGGGGTGTTAGGGAACAAACAATTTGAGCTATTATCTGCTGCCTCGTAGGGTGTGCCTTAGCAGGAAGCTGGATCAAAAGTAGTGTAGCTGCTACTAAAATTAAGCACACTGACAATGGGATGTGGTTTTCCAAACTGCATCTTAAAGACCGCACCAAATAAGAAGCTTCCTGGTTTTTCTTGGGGGAAGAGACCAAGCACCTACTGAGTTCATCCAACAAGAAGCCATAACTTTATTAATGATAGAAACAGTACAAATTTCAAACCAAGCTGCAGTTACTCTTTGAAACACCAAAAAAGATCCTTGTTTTTCAGATGGTTACATTGTTAATTCCTGTAAGAGGGAAAAAAAAAAAAAAAAAAGATAGTTAGAGGTAGTTATAGACAGCATGGGCAAATCCAGGTCACTAAAACCTAAGGCAACTCAGAAGAGGCTTTGGGATGAGGCTTCTTAAGTGGCTGATATTAAGCAGAGAAAAAATGATGCCACTCTTAATTGGTCAGGGCAGAGGGCTTGGACACTCACCATAATAGCATTTACAATATCATTACTGTTGTTCTTCAGGGCTCGGACTGCCTTTGCTCTTGACACATTTGCTTGTGACATGACCAACTCGATATCCTTAACTTCCACACCCGTCTCATCGACCTGAAAGGAGAGGGCAAGAGTAACTTCAGTAGTTCTTTGGAGTTAGTTTCTTAAATCTAGATAATATAATTCAAAAGCCACTCAACTCAATGCAAGCTGAGTG